CCCGCGCGGGAGACGGGGTCTGTGCTAGTGCTGCGCCTGCCGGCATTGCACAGGGAGCCTTATCCTCTTATGGAAGAGAGATGTTTGCAAATGCACCGCAGCTCCCTGGCCGTCCTGCCATGAGCCTGCTCCCTGCCACCCCCGGCAGCAGCACGGTGTTGGCTTGAGGGCGGTCCCAGCCAAAACCTGTGGAGGCAGGCATGAGAATATGTTGGGGTTTGGTTTCTTTTTTCCTCATGTCTGTTCTGCCAGCAAAGGAGAGTTTTTGCTCTTTTTTCATGCATTAAGTGCTCCTTCCTCTAATCCTTGGGTTTTTGGGATCACAATCCAGTGAACTGAAATTATGTATTTTCTGTGTGGGGTTTGTTTTTTTTTTTTTTAACTGATGGGTTTGCTGTAGTGTAAGCTGATGCATTCCTTTCCCTGTTCAGGCTTGTTTCCATGGTGCTCTCCCTCCTGCTCCGCTCCTGCTCTTCCCTCACCCCTGCAGAGCTGGGTGCTGGGGTGCTCAGTGTTACACCTGAGCTACAGCCAGCCTGGGGCAGGGGGTCTGTGCGGTGGTACTAAGGCTGAGGAGTGACAGCAGACAGTGGCTGTGAGCGTCTGTCAGTGGTGTACATGGCATTAAGACAAGCAGGTGTCATTGTAGATCATCTACACAGAGGAGACGGCAGCAGCGGAGCAGCAAGATACTGTGACGTTTGGCTCCAAACGTATTGCAGCCATTACTGGATACTGCGATGCTGTAAAGATGGTGGGAACTGGGAGGGGGGCTATGCGCAGTGGGAGGTGGCTGCTAGCTCTGGTACCGTCTGTCTGAGAAAGGCAGCATGAGCCAGTGAAGGATATTTAAGAAGGTAGAGAAGTAAGTCTGGGACCGAAGATGGCTCTAGCAGCAATGGGATGAGGTGAAGCTGCAGAAATGAAGCTGCAAATCACAAAAATCAACAGCCTGTTTCTTTGTGTATAAAATCTCATGGTTAGAGCCTGCACAGATACTGGAGTTCTTGACTTTTGCTTTGGCACTTTATTTACCACTCGGTGTCAGTCGGTGCTTTAGGAGTTTAAATGCCACTGTGGATCTGGCCTGTAGCTTCAGACGGGAGGGACATGAGTGAAAAGCCATAACAGGAGGGGAAGGAGGACAGGTCCTTTCCACCTCCGACCTCTCAGGTAGTTCTGCACCCGACCCTTGGTGGGGTCCCATAGGCAGTGCCCTGGGCAGGCAGGTGGACATCCAGCCGTAATGTGCCTTGCTGCTCAACCCTAGTGGGGATGCTCCCCCCAGCCTCTCAGTGCAGCCGCCCACGGTGGCTTCCCCCAGCTCCGGAGCAAGCCATGGGGGGCTTTGCACTAGCCAGCCCTCCGGCCAGCCGGCCAGGCCGCACAGGTCACTGCAGGAGCCGTGCCTCTATGTGTGCTCTGCTGCTCCCGGGCCGGGCAGAAAGCATGGCATCAGCGGTCAGGGCTCACAGCAAGGTGGGCAGCGAGAGGCTCGGCTTGGTTGATTAAATTGAAATTGGAAGGGAAAACAGCACCACGTCTTTCGGTGCCAAAGGAAAAGGCAAGCAGCTGCGCTGTCCTTTTTGGTAGTTGATCTTTAGTGGGAATGAAGAGGAGCGAGAAGAGACTTGGGATGCAAAGAAAAGGGGCTTTGCAGCAAGTGCTCCGCTTCCTCTCGGAGAAGATCACCTCGAGAGCGTTAACAGCAATTTTCCTCATCAAAATTGAGTGCTCACAGCAGTGGTTCCTGTGGCTCCTCTCTGAGCTCTAGTAGCTTTTGCTTCTCTGGAGTATTTTCTGCCCTGGTGGGTGTCAGGCCGGGCCATGCTCAAGCGAGAGGCCACCCTGGGCAGTTTGCTGTCTCCTGTGCTGGCAGCCTCTCTGGGTTTGGGGAAAGGTCCTGGCTTTTACCTGCTGACTCTGACTGCAGCAGCGCTGCCCGGAGCAGCTCGCTTGGAGGGAGGTGCCATTATGCTCACTTGTGTGCGAGCCTGCTGACAGGAGCGGTGGCAAACGGACGTTTTGGCTTCAGATAGAGGCCTTGCCTCCGAGCTCCAGCACGGCGGCTGCCTCCATCCCCTCATTCCTGCCCTCTGCCTCCTCCGCTACTCCCCTGCCCAGTAGCAGCCAGTGATTCCCCGCCACAGTTCACGTAAAGGTGTGTGGACTGGCTCTTTCCCCCCTTCCTCACCAGGACAGCCTTATTCCCCTCCATGCCAGCATCCCTGTGTTGACAGCGGCAGCCGGCATGATTGTTTTGTTTCTCCATTTTAGAAAGCAACCTTCAGGTATCTACAAAAGAGAGCTCTGTGGAGATTGCTGGCGGTGCTGACACAGCCATTGAGTGCAGGATCGTGTTTGCCCAGAATAATTCTCAGTTTGCCGTTACCTGGTACCTCCTACCTCCTTCTCCAGCAGATGCAACGCCCTTGCGAATCGTAAGGGCCAACTACAGCAACATACTGGAGTACGGGGCTGAGTTCAGCTCTCCTGCACAAAAGTCCCGGTTCCTGAGCCAGAGGCTGTCCAGCAATGTCTTCTGGCTGCGGATACTCTCTGCAAACCCCAGGGACCAGGGCAGGTACTACTGTGTGGTAGAGGAATGGCTCTGGCTGGTGGACGGCTGGTACAACCTCGGAGAGAGAGCATCGGGAAGGACCACACTGGAGTTCAAGCTCCCAGGTGAGCGGCGGTTGTCTCTTGTGTAGCTGCTTCTGGAGAAGGTTGGATCAATTTATGACGGGGGCCCTCGCCAGGCCTCTCCTAAGCAGGCAGGGTTTAAGGGGAAGCAGCAGCTCCGGCGCTGGGTCTGAGACTTAGGCATGCAGGAGGTGTCAGTGCCTCTCAGATGGAAATAGGCCAGTAAGAGGATTTACTACATCTTCCCAAACAAGTCAAGCTGGTGTTTTTGCCATGGGCAGATGATGTCTAATGCTTCGTAACAAAGTAAACCGTGGTGTTTTCTTTTTCCTCCCTCCAACACGTGGTGCACTTGGTTGTTGTACAGTGCTGTGAATAAGAGAAGCAGCCCTTTCCTGGTACTCCCAAGCATCTTGAAGTAAGATGCAAAGTTTTCCCTACCCTTCTGCACATAGCCACAGAGAACAAGGCTGAACGCTCAGCTGCGCTCACCTTGGGCACTGCACCACTGGGGTGCACGGTGGGTCTCCCTGGCTCAGTCCTTCCCCCTCTCAGCATGACATGGCTTGTGGCTGCAGCCCTAAATAAAGTGGATCAGAGAATTCCAGCTCCCTAAATAGCTTTCAGTCCAATGGATGCCTTATCACTTATTTGGAAGGGGTGGGAAATACTACAGCAGGGGGTCTCAAGATGATGGCGGGGGGAAGAGCACACCCCAAGGGGGAGAATGATTCACAGGAGCGCGGGGGCCGGGGGTGTCCTGCAGAAGCTCTTCCAAGAACCCATCCCAATTCCCTACGTTTCGCTCCGGAAAATTTTCCGTCAGCCTGCGGGTGCAGACGGGAAGATTTCTACAGCAGTGCAACGCCGCAACGTCTCTTTCTGCTTGCACCCCGCCCCAGAGCACGAACTGCACCTGGAGAAAACCAACCACAGCATCTCGGCGAGGCAGGGGGGGGGGGGGCGCGGCGCCCCCCCCCCCCCCCCCCCCGCCTCTCGGCCACCTGGTTTCGGAGGGAGGAAAGCGGCTATGCCAGGCCCCTGCTCACCCTCCACTGCGACGGTGCCATCGAGTACCCCTGGGAGAGCCTGGCCGGGAGGCTGCACCTCCGCCGCCCTGCCGC